TAACTTGATCAGAGTTTTATATGCACAGAGAAAATAAGTTAACCTTTTTAACGAATATTTACACGTCGATTTGATAGATAATGATTAGTGTTTGAGTATGCAAGATATGCAAGCGTGCGTGTGTGTGTGTGTGTGTGTGTGTGTGTGTGTGTGTGTGTGTAGGGTATAGGGTGGGAGGTTAATGTGTTAGGTGAGGTTTGAGGACAAATTCCAACCATCAGATCAGACGATCTAACAGCGGAAAGTGTATCGTTGGGTGGATTTCAAAGGCCACTAAACCAGCCGAATAACTTATGGAGTAATTAATTTGGGGTAAAAGGGTAATTGGAGTATTAATTGAGCAAGAATGGGAAGGAAAACCCGAAGACTACGGGTTTGAACGTGTAGGGTTTAAACGGACTAAGACTACGGAGGTTGTCGGCTTTGCACATTGGAGAGAGTTGGAGCAGAAGAAACGACGGCAAAGAGAAGAACTGCGATCGGCGGCTTCAACACCAGAATCAATGGCGGACGGAACACCAAGACGGAGTACACGACGTGCGTCGATCGATGCAACAAGTAGACTGCGTAAGGGTTATTTTTGTGTTTTTTTTTTAAATTAGCACTATGATTTCTTTATGATCGATTAAGTGCACAATGCTATTGCATGTATGTGGGAGTTCATGTTCGGGTACAGAAATGTAAACTGGTGTTTTTTATTTGGGGGAAAAAAAAGAGTACGAGAAGTCGTTGATGGCAGCGATTTGGTCGGAATCCAAATTATAGGCGGGGTTAGGGAGAAATTAAAATAGAAGGTGGGAAGTAGTGGGTTGTTTCCGGGAAGAAGCTCGATACGCAGTGATATTCAATGGTTTTTTTTTTTTAGTTTTTTTTTTTTTTTTTTAGATGAGCAACAATGGTAAAACATGGGTGTTGAGTTTGCCGTGTTGAAGATCCACTCATGCAGTTGAGCAAGAATGCACAAATGAAATCACATTCTTTGGTTTGGTGTGAATATTATTCTGCCAGGTTTATTTTATGCGTTTGAGGGGAGGTAGAAAACTGATAAAATGAGAAGCAAAATACTAGGGGTTTAAGGTTTGGATAGAATGGGAGTAATAATAAAGAATATGTGCAGTTTAGAGATTTAGAGGAATGGATTATGTTGTGCACAAAAGGCAATAAAGAACTAAAAGCATGCATACATGATTGGTTGCACATTTTAGGAAAAAGTGTAATGGGGGACCACAATGCAGTAGTTGGGGAAAGAAACAGTTAGGTTAAAGGACAATAAAAGATTGAACAAAGTTTGTCTTTTTCGAAGTGTCTTCACTTAGAAAGCAATTGAAAAGGAGAATATATGGGACCCCTACCTGCACACCAGATTTTAGAAATATATTAAATGATAGAAAAGTTATTTAATGGGTGCAAGGAAGTACGAGTTAGAATAGTTTATGAAATTAATTGTATATAACTGTGCATGAATGCGATCAAAATGTGAATGCGTATATTAGTGTACATGTTTGTGCGTATTAAATGAATAGGTTATGTGCATTGGAAGTGTTTGTTATTGGTGTGCATGCGTTACTGAGCAAGCAACAGTGGGAAAATATGTATTCTTAAGCGATGGAATGTGTTATTTGTTGCATACTGAGCTGGTGCATTCGTTTTTTTGTTGGTGAATACAACCCTCACTAATATGTTAAAGGAATAATTGTGCAGGGAAGAAGGCAAAAATAACAAAGGCGCACCCAGGTTTTGTGAGTGAACCCAACCATGATGATGACGACTTTGTAAGCCCACCAATAGGAGACTGGCAACCGCAAAGGCAGAATGAAAATGAGTGCTCAAAATACGAACTACTACCTGAAGAGGAGGCAAGGTTTCCAAAATTTGAGACACGGGCTATGGCAAAGCACCTGGTTGAACCTATGAAAAAATTTGGATCCTTGCAAAGGAATGCAATTAGGGAAATGGACTTAAATTTGAATCCCTGCAAAGGAATGCAGTTAGGGAAATGGGCTTTGGGGATTTGCTGAAACTGAAGGGGGAAGACACCCCTCTACGAATGGGGCACTGGTTGATGAAGAACTTTGACGGGAGTTCAAAAACAGTAAATTTAGGACATGGCCGGATTTTAAAGATAACATATGAGGACGTGGAGTCAGTCCTTGGATTTCCACGAGGACCCAGAGAGATTAAAAAGGGGAGCACAAAATAAATCCTTACATGATAGGGTTGTTGTTAAAGGAGAATAAAGATGGAGGAATTTGGTTCAAGAAGCACTTCACAGTCCTAGTGGCAAGCATCCTAATTTGCATCCAACAAAATGGATATGCAAATCAATCAATCTTGCACGAGCTAAAGGATGTGAGCAAGATAAGGGAACTGAATTGGTGCAAGTATGTGATTGACGAGCTAGTCGAATGTCACAACAAATGGGTAACAAAGCAGCACAAAAAATTTACTGGACCATTGCTATTTGTAACGGTAAGCTCAGCATTCTGTGTGTAATTAATAGAAGTTTTGGCGTACGATAAAATGGTAATACGTGTATTGTGGTTATGATTATAATAATGAATATTGTTTTTATGGGTAATGGAAATGCAGATGCTGTACGTAGATAGAGTTGTGAACCCAAGCCGCTATGTTGAATGAAATAGGCCAGCATTCATAGGCTGGACTGCAAAGGTGTTAAATGAGCGTGAGTTTGCCGAGATAAAAAAAAGGTGGGTTTGGTTTAGGTGAGATTGAGACAAACGGAGAAATAGAAGAGGAATTGAATGAGCATAATACAGAAGAAAATCAAGAAGATGAAGTTGAGGATCCAGTAAAGGTAAAAATGTATAAGGTTAATTGAATAGGTAAATAGCCATATTATAGAATATATATTGCATGCCATTGAACATAGAGGAGTTGCTACATTTAAAATAACAAGTGCATTTTGTTAAAAAATACCAGTACCTTGAATTGGTTAGTACTAAGAATGTGGAACAAAAATGGCAGGCTATGGAGGTACGGTTTACAGAGGATGCAAACCAAGTTATAAATAAAGTCCAAGATCTCAGTAAACTTGCCGATGAAGCAGGAAAATGCACACTGACACATACGACCTTTGAGAAGCTAGTGGAGGCGGGAAAGTTGATGTTAAGAGTAGGACAAAGATATGTTGCAGCGAGATCAAAGTGCAATCAGAATCAGGCACAAAACGAAGCAGAAAGTGACGAAGAGTCATTGAGCATTGCATCAAAGAGTAAGGATGAAGATGCGGGCGAAGGGGATTTAGGAGAACAAGAGACAGAAGTACAAAATGAGAGAGACGTGGATATGGGAGACCACGAGACAGCAGATGCAATGCCATCATTCAGCTTAGGCTTAACCTAGGAGATGAACAATATACCCCAGGGGTGCGAACCAAATGACGACAACATGATTGCAGCTGATTCTGTAAGTAAAAAAAAAAATAATTTTAAGAAATGAGTGATATGTAATATGGACCACGTATATATTATTCTGTAGAATATGAGCTTCGAAGTGTGATTTTGATGTTCGAAAACGCAGGGCGAAGAAGCGATGTAAAACGAAGATGAAGACATAGAAACCAGGATCCCACCGATAGGCGCCAATGAGATGAACCCAACGACAAACCAACCAGAAGACTCATTCCTCACACCTGCTGAGGTATGTTGCGTGGTAGAATTGATAGTAGCTGACTTAAAAATAAGAAATATAGAGAAAGAGAATGTGCATGATAGTGGGTAACAAAATTGCAATGGTGCTTGTTTTAAAAGAGGTAAATGTTTGAGAAATCGGATGTGTGTAATGTTTGAAATTGACTTCGAAATAAAAATTTAGTGAAAGTGAATGTGCAAGACTGAGGTACATTCAATTGCAATGTTAAGTGCTTTAGCAGATTTACATGTTCAAGATATTAGATCTCTGAAATGTATCAAGATGTGTAATATTTAATATGCAAGTCTCAAAAAGTTTAATAGAACTGTTATATTGAACACATTGTGCATAGAGTGAACTGAAAACCAAAGTAGACTAATTTTCAAACACACATTTTGCAGCAACTGATTAACCCGAATGGAGCGAACGAAGGAGACCAAGGAGGGAACATAGAAAAGGCACCAATGAAAATGCCAAGAAGTGAAGGGAACACGTCCAATTTACCACAAAACTCAGGCACATCGTCAGAGCACACTCGTGTTGCATGAAGAGAGCTCACAAATTGGTATTCTCCAACCCCAAGTGAGATGAAGAAGTGGATAATCTAGACTGCAAATGCTGACATGTAAGAAAGATTAAATTAAAATTCAGCAACTAATGAAAAATAATAGTATACATCACCTCGTTTGCTGACACACAGGGACGAGGAGCTCTTCCACTACAACGGACAACGAATATTAAGATCTGACATGATGACACTGGACACGGGCAAGGAAGTGAATGAGACAGTTATAGACACATGGGCATGCGTACTAAATGACAAAGAACGGAAAAAACCAATCATTCATCCCACACGATTCTTTGCATGAACAAAAATAACGGTATACGATTTTATTTTTTTTTTTTTTAAAAGGAAAACTTGAAATACACAAATAATTTGAATACTGCAGTGGATTTAATATGAATATGTATGCATGTGCAGATGGAAACAGTGGTGGGGTGGACAGGGACACGAGCACAACAACTCAAGCTATTTAAAAGGAAAATGAAAAGCGAGTTAACGTTCAGCTCATACAGAAAGTGGGCAGAGATTGACAGGGTAAGTTAACATATGACATAAATGGGTAAGATGTGTTAAATGTATTTGTTCTTGGGTTTAAAAAATTCTTGCTAATCATTTTGAGATGAATGTGCAATGCAGTTTCTATTCCCAATATTGAACAAATCTCACTACTATGTCATTGCCGCCGACTACTACTAATCATTTTGAGATGAATGTGCAATGTTTATGCTCGGATGTATTTGTTCCTGGGTTTAAAAAATTCTTGCTAATCATACGACCCCCTTCCTCATATGTCAGCGTTGCGCATCGGGCAGGTACGACTATTATGGCCATACTTTTCACAAGTTTGGCATTGTCGTTGACGACATCCAGACTTTTCAACAGCTAATTCCCTTGTACTTTTGTAATGTTTGCCACCACCCTTGTTATTAGAGATAGGAGGAGGACGAATATCAACTTGACCATCGGGTGAAGCACCGCAAAACGACTCAAATAGTTGCTTCTTAGAAGCAGAAGAGCGATCGCTGGGACCATTCTCAGCCAATAAAACAGCGTTGAAATCTTTCAAAGCTGCAGTCAACTTTATAACATGATCAACACTCCGTGAAGCCATGGTCATGCACGAAAAGAATTCTGTCCAAGCTTCACCAACAGCGACATCTACATCCGTAGAGCCCCCACGTTGAACCCCCAACAACTGCCGCACACAAGCACCCTTAGTCCAACGTGAAACCACATATCGAGAAGGGATAGAAACAACCCTACGGTCCTTGAAAACCCAGAAAATATGACGACAAAGTAACCCAACCCGTGTAAACATGTTACACATGCACTCGACAACAATATTACCAGAGTCAAAACTCACGGTGTGCACCAGCTCATCACCATCTTGAACCCTCATACCGGGTTACCATCCCTCCAACATTCGAACGCACAGAACGACACGAAAAAGATCCCGCAATAACCTCGGCTTGAACATCATAAAAAACATTGACAGTATACACCGCAGTCGCATGTTTCTCAATCAACAACGGAGTCTGGCACAAAGGAAAATGGCCCTCACATTCGGCATTCAGTTTGGCCTGCGCCACACGTTGGGCATCAATAGCCCCTTCAAAATTGTTGAACAACTCAGACAAACTAGCATGCTGGTTTGTGCAACTACCAAACACACTATTCGCAGCTTCGGACCTAGATGTCGTGCGAAGCAGACCACCCATGAAAAGATCATTAAAAAACGCAAGGATCCAATACGATCTCAGATCATACATAAGACAAAACCACCGGTGATCACCAAGGCTATACTTTTCCATTACGTCCTGCCGACCCCGCTCAAACTACTCCACGGACAACGTCTCACTCCAAACAACATCATTCAAAGCACGTCGAAACTCCTCGTCTTTAGTTAGAACATTACCAACCTTCTCACCAACTGTTGACATTATATGCCACATACAAAACTTGTGCCGCGTAGTATCAAACACCCGTGGGACTGCAACCCGCATTGGAGGATCTTGATCAGTGATAGTGCAACTAGGCACACAACCCATTGCACTTTTAAATTGCTGAAGAAACCACACATAAGAGTCCACATCTTCACGAGAAATCAAACCAATTGCAAATGTGACGCCTCTCTTGTGATTATCAACACCAGTAAATGGAACCAATACCATACCATACATGCAAAACATAACACCAAACCAAAAAAAGAATAGAACCATGGGCGTTAGCACACTGCATGCACGAATAAATAAGACCAAATTGCACATACTAGAAATTTAAAAATAAACCAACTACAAGGAATTTTTTTTTACAAACATGTGGCTTACCTATTAGTACCATAAGTCGCATCAAACGACACCATATCCCCAAAAACTGTAAAATTTTCCTTTGAAATAGGGTCAGCCCAAAACACCCTCCGTAACTGATCCTGAGAATCCACATCATATTTAAAGAAATAGTCTGGGCAATCGTCTACCTTCTTAACATATTTTTTCACAACAATATGAGAATCAGGAGTCCCAATATATGCCATTAAATCACGCTTCAAATTTTTAAAGTCAACACATGTCGCACTAACATTAGAATACGAACTAGCAAACTCCCTAGCCAAGCGAAATGACCGATTAGGCCCAACGTTGGCCCTAGCACACTTAAACACAAAAATTTGGTGTTGAGCATCCATGGAACGATTAACCCGCAAGAAAGGCTTAGCCACATCCGAGCACAAACAATGATTATGACGGTGCTTAATGAAACAAACCACAAAAACCCCATCTTCAACAACAACCTCGCTTTGCAACCCACCCTATCCGAAACACGCCGGCGCTTCGGAGCCACAGCTGGTTGATCCAACGCACCATTAACAACAACGGGTCCCTACCCCCCCCCCTGCTTGAATCCTTCACGCGAACAAACCAACAAGTCTTTTACAACAACACCTTTCCTATTCTTACGCACTGAACTACAACATACGTCAAAACCAACAAGAGATGCATACTGACGATAAAAATCAATACTGTGAGCGAGAGAAGGAAAAGCTTGCCCTTCAAAAGACCTAATCGCCTCGTCACACGAAGGCGTCCAGTACTTAGTTCCATCGGGAGACACGTCCATAACACAACCTTAAAACCAACATGCACAAAATACAAAAAAAAAATAATAATATCAGACTGATTGCACATATCAAATGACAAAACATGCACTTTACGAAATAACCACCCCTCCTCCCCAAACAGAAACCTTCAAAAAAATATACAATGCAAAGAACATATAGTAGGAAATGCACAAAACTACAATTAGAATAACCTAACAGTACACAAAAAACAGCACATACAACCCATGTTGTCAAACCAATAAGGAAACATGCATAAATTAGCAATACAATTTAGAAACGAAAAACATATGCCAATGGAACTTATGAAAAAAAGAAAATCAGAATTACAACTACGAAATAATATATATCGTATAAGACATAAATGACAACTACTAATGGGAACAAAAAACCAAATCCCTACGACAAGTAGTAATCTAAGAAACAAGAACCACGATTAAAATAGACAAATTAAAATTTCATAAACAATGCCAATACACAACACCTACAACGCATGTCTTACACATGAGCACATACTTATACACAAACCAAGTACCAACTGATGCTCAATAAATATATACTAGAAACAAACGAAAACACCAACCTGAAGAATCAATAAGCCTTTGCACAGAGAATGCCGTAAAAATGAATAAGGATGACTGCAAACTTTGGAACGATACAAACAAAAACCACAAAAAAACTAAAAAGTATATAAAGAGGAACGCTGCATCATAATATAAACGACCAATATCTTAATTTACCATATTTAATGCACCTAAAAACGAGCAAATCATCCGAAAAACAAACCCAAAAAATAGGAAAAAAAAAAACAAAGACTATAAAGCCCTTAAAACAATCACGCGGCAAAAATAAAAAAAAAATACCATAAAAAATAGCCGAAAAAACATGAACCATAGATCAAACCACAATCAAAGGCCAGATTCTGTCCACAGACCTCATGTGGGAACATAACCTCATATGATCCTCTCTCTCTCTCTCTCTCTCTCTCTATATATATATATATATATATATATATATATATATATATATATATATATATATATATATATATATATATATATATATATATATATATATATATATATAGAGAGAGAGAGAGAGAAAGAGATTTATAGTGGTTCGGCTGTTAACAAAGCATACTCCACTCTACTTCACAACTCATGAAGGTTTGCACTATATCCTTAGTACAAGGTCACCCCAAGATTGCTCCTTGTCACAAAGCCGGACACAATCTTGCACATAAGGTTTTTCGACTTCACCAAGTCTACTCTACCTCTATCTACTTTCAAAGTAGAGGAATAAAGATGAAGATATGAGTTCCAGAAATCTGGATGTGAAACTTGAAGCAGCACAAGCCTCCTAGAAATCTAGATTATGAACTTAGCAAATATTTCTCTCTCAACTGGTCACGCTTAGCTTGATGTTTCAAATAGAGCTTTTTCACTTGAATATTTTCAAAGACCATCACCTTCTTCTGAATGGGAAGGAGGTATTTATAGGTGTGAAAAATTGTCCCGTTGGAGGGAAGACAAATTTTCAATGATCTATTATCCAGTGAACAAAGACCGCTAGGTAATTCGAGTGTACGTGAGTTGCCAGTACTTTCCAGTCGTTGGTCCTTAAAATGTGTTGAGCATATCACTTTAATTTCACAAAGGGCATGACATTTAATGAAAGTTGACTTTGAGATTTATTCCTAGGACACGTTTTGTCCTTAACATAATTTTCCATGATTCAGGTTTCGGACTATACGTGCTCAAAGAATATCTCTGATTTGTCCTATTGAGTTGTTGGTTGTGTCATCGACTCGAGCCCTTTTAAAAACACTCAAACATGATTGATTGACTTAACCAATCATCCCATAATGCTTCGAATGATTTTCCTTTATCATTCGACCTTGATAACACAGGAGGTAGGCCCATACATGATTCGGTCTTTTGCAACCTCTGTGTTTTTGTCTTCGAGTCTTTAGATCTTCAAGTCTTCGTTTAGGACTATGAATCGTTGATAGATAACCTCTTGGGTCATGTCTTGATTCGTTATCTTCTATTCGCCTGAGTGATCACTCGGGTTAATGATTCGAATGAAGGTGGACTCGACCTAAATCTAAGACAATAAATGAATTGAGGCGTCTAAACTCCTAAACTTGGTATCATCAAAATCTAATTACAAAATGTTTCTCACACATAACATCATAAAACATAATCGAGCAAACATAACATCAGAAAACATTATCGATTCAACCAATTTCATCAATTGCACTATATACTATCCGTTGTTATAATTTATATAATTGTATATCGATCAAAGTACTTTTTTTTTTACAATTAATTTTTTGATAATCTCTCTCTCTCTCTCTCTCTCTCTCTCTCTCTCTCTCTCTCTCTCTCTCTCTCTCTCTCTCTCTCTCTCTCTCTCTCTCTCTCTCTCTCTCTCTCTCTCTCTCTCTCTCTCTCTCTCTCTCTCTCTCTCTCTGTGTGTGTGTGTGTGTGTGTGTATATATATATATATATATATATATATATATATATATATATATATATATATTACTGAACATATAAAAGTATAATTACACGGATATTAGTATAGTTACAATTAAGGATCGGTCGTTGGGTTTTTTTAATAATAATTACAATTAATTAATTCAAATATGGAAGATGATGAAAATTAAAAGTAAAGGCGATATGGTGAAAAGGAATATATTTAAGGTATAAAAGTATAATTGCACAAATATTAATATAATTTCCTAATAATAATTGCCTGGTAATTATTATAGTAATTAAGATAAACATGTGTCGTTAGATTTATTTTATAATAATTACAATTAAATTAGTTCTCCTTTTTTCCATATTTATTTTAGTAAAAATATAATTATATAAATCATATTACATATTAATTTTTAAGATAATTGTAGACAAATGAGTTATATATTATTCAATTAATTGAGTGATACTTTTGCACTAATCTTATAATTAAATAAATGTACACTTTCAAATATTAGAATTTTTTTTTTGAAAACCCATTAGAATTGTTTATAATTCATCTTTAATTTATTATCTAAATATATAATAAAAAATTGTATCCGTCCATAGCACGGGTAATTAGGCAATTATTTGCAGGAAATTAAACAAGGATAATATCAAAAAACATATTCGATCCAATCCATTTCATCAATTGCACTATATAATATTCATTGTTATAATTTATATAATTGTATATCGATCCAAACATTCTTAATATATTATAACAAATATATTCTGTGTAACGCACCGACAAAAATCCTAATTGGGCAATGTGGAACGCATAATCTTCACCACTTAAAGTACTGCACGTCCTTGTACAGGCTACCTCAAAAGTGGTGCCTCAACTTGAATGTGGACGCATCATCACCAACCCGAGCATTTCCAATAAGAGGATTTTGCAAAAGAATTAAAAGAAAAAAATGGGTATGTTGAGGAGAGAGAGCGTTGACGTGCTCCTGCTAATTTGTGAGTTTTGTCAGGGTTTTGGGGAGTTTTGCAGGGGTATTGTCAATTTTTTTTTTTTTTTCCTTTTTTTTTTCCCTTTTCACTCATTTCTCTTTCTTAATCACACATCCAAAAACTCTTAAAAAACTACACTAAGATCCTCACTATTGAGGATGCTCTTAAGACTACACATCATTATACAATTTGCGGTACATCCTCATTCAGCGTTCTACAAGTTCATGTACCCGCAACCTCTTATTGGGGATTTACGTGGTGGAGCGAGTTAATGCACGCTGATGTGAATTTGATACCAATAGATATAAACTTAGACCTTATAACTACACCACAAAAAGTTAGCTCATGAATATAAGTTTGAGCCAAAAAATACATATTAATAGATATTTCATTAGGAGATGTAAGGTAGATCAACAAATATATATATATATATATATATATATATATATATATATATATTCCTTGAATTGGGGTGGGGTATCAGATTTGAGGGCTATAACAATCCCTACACAAGAATTGAGTTTTTAGAGTGCACACCTCTTGGTTATTGCGGGCTTTTCTCCACACCCAATAAAATGAAATGATAATACTCCGTAATAATTAGAGTTAATTATACCAGATCACTTGTCTTTGATGGTAATTCTAAATTTAATTACAGATAATTGTTTTTGTCATTTAACATCTCAGAATATTATTTTTTGGACACTTTTAGTACTTTTTATGACTTTTTATATTTTTAGTAAGGGCATTTTTGTCTATTCATATTTTTTATGTTTTAACCGGTTTAATTGGTTTAGAACTTTACTAAAAATCGGTTGAAAATTTTGGTTACTAAAAATCAGAGGTTACCTAAAGTTATAAACCAATTAAACTGGCTGAAACAAAAAAAAAAAACAAAAAAAAAACAAAAAAAAAACAAAAAAAAAAAAAAAAAACAAAACAAAAGAAAAATATGAAAATACAAAACTGCCCTTACTAAAAATAGAAAAAATCATGAGAATGACTAAAAGTGTTCAAAAAATAATAGTCTCAGATGTTAAATGACAAAAACGATAGTCTGAACTAAATTTGAAATTATCACAAAAAAAAAAAAAAAAGACCTTTGTTGGAATTAACTCTAATAATTATTATAATTTGATCTAAGTTTCATTTGAAAACTAAAAAAAATGACCTTTGAAAGTCATTTTTAAAATTTTTCATGTAAGAAAATGAAATTAAAAAAATGAGTTAATTTCACTTTTAGTTCTATGACTATTGGGATATTAGCAATTTGAGTTCATAACTTTCAAAACTAACAATTTAGTACTCTAACTATTCAATTTTTATCAATCTTAGTCCGCCCGAGCAAATTGTAACCCAATTATTGCCAGAATCTTTTTAATTCAGTGTTAAAATGTAAATTGATTTGTGAACCATTGTTTGAGTTAATATGGAGGCAGGTAGGATGTGAATAAAAATTGACAACAATTGGCCAACAATTCGGCTGTACAGACTAAAATTTATAAAAATTAAATAATTATGGTACTAAATTGTAAATTTTAAAAGTTGTGAACTGAAATTGAGAACACACCAATGATCATAGGACCAAAAGTGAAATTAACTCTAAAAAAATATTTATTTTGATGAACGAAAAATATCAAATTTGACATAAAAATGTCTTATTTTTTGAACTTTCAACCATAGAGATGCGCCATCACACATTCACACTAAAGTATCTTAATTGAGTAAAAAATGAACTCTACTTTCATATATTTAACGGTTTTAGGCTGGTTGATTCGGTGAAACTTCACTCTGACCCAGCCAATCCGTCTTACAATTCCCCCAGCTATTAAACCCTGTAGAAATCCGCCGGCACCTTTCAACGGGGATCGTCTGCCATAGCAATACCTTTCAAGTTTCAACTCTCTTCTATCTAACAAACAGAATCTTGCCATGTCTTTTGCCACAGTTCAATTCCTCCCCAGCACGACTGCCGCCGCCGCAACGACCAACGTCACGCGCGCCGCCGTGGTCTCTTCACACGGTTATCGCCAATGCCGCCGCAATAGTTTATTCATCTCTCTTCCGGGGAACCAGTTACATTTCCGGCGCCGCCTTCAAATCCGGGCAGTCGACGCGGCCCAGCCGTACGACTACGAAGCCCAGATCTCAAACACCTTCTACAGCTCCATGAAGCTGAAAATTGCCGTTGTAGGGTTTGGGAACTTTGGCCAGTTTCTCGCCAAGGCCTTCGTGCGCCAAGGCCACATTGTGATGGCTTACTCGCGCACCAATTACATCAACATCGCGCAATCCATCGGCGCCTCCTTCTACACTGACCCACACGACCTCTGCGAGCAGCACCCTGACGTAATCCTCCTCTGCACCTCCATAATCTCCACCGAGGCCGTCCTCCGATCTCTCCCTATTCAACGCCTCAAGCGCAATACCCTCTTTGTCGATGTCTTATCGGTAAAAGAATTCCCCAAGAATATTTTTCTCCAATTGCTTCCCCCCCATTTCGATATCCTTTGTACTCACCCTATGTTTGGGCCGGAAAGTGGGAAAGAAAGCTGGAGGGGATTACCCTTTGTGTTTGACAAGGTCCGGATAGGAGATGAGGACTCTAGAGTCTCGAGGGTAGAAAGGTTTCTTGATATCTTTACCAAGGAAGGGTGTAGGATGGTAGAAATGAGCTGTGCCGAGCACGATAAGCATGCTGCTGGGACTCAGTTTATCACTCATACTATGGGGAGAGTGTTGGAGAAGCTGCAGTTGGAGACGACGCCTATTAATACAAAAGGGTATGAGACATTGTTGGATTTGGTGGAGAATACTGCCAGTGATAGCTTCGATTTGTACTATGGGTTGTTTATGTACAACAAGAATGCAATGGAGCAACTGGAGAGGCTTGACTTGGCATTCGAGTCATTGAAGAAGGAGTTGTTTGGGCATTTGCATGAGAAGTTAAGGAAGCAGTTGTTTGGCAAGGTGGAGGAGGAAGCAGGAGAGAGGCCCATGTTATCCAAGTTGCCTAAGAATGGTTATGCATTGCCAGCGCCTTCGTCTGAGCCTTTGGAAACCCAAAACAATTGAGGGAATCACAAATCTATCTTGTTTGCTTGCCGTTTGGTCCATAACTTGGTTGGCTTGAATTGAATTCTTTCTTTTTTTAAAGAAAAAGTAGGCCTTTCAATGAATATGCATTATAGATATATGAAAACTGTATGTTCTGTTGTAATTGAGTCAGAATGAATCTTTGGATAATGATAGAATAATATGGGACTTAAATTTTACTATGCAGTGTTTATTAGGTGTGTGGGGATTGACATGGTTATCAAAGATTCATATTTGAGTCCATAACATGGTACAGAAAGCATTTAGTGTGTCTGATAGTATCATAGTAAACATTACTACACTGAGACCGTTTATTGTTTGTTGTGTGCTTTGTTGTTAATACTTAATAATACTAGCTTTAGAAAAAGAGAGAATTACAGTTCAAGCATATATGATAATTCAGCTAGAGATCCATGACATTCTAGTTTGGAGCATATTTAGCATCATCAATATGAATATTCTATGAATCTGCACTAAAATGGACATCAACTTTATAGAATCTAAAGTTCACTTTTAACTTACCAAATTTCTGAAATACTGATTCACAGAAAGGTATTGCTTGGACAGGAGAAATTGAATTGGAAGTTTCTTTCATCCCATATCAGCATTTTCTATCATTACCTAGCTCCTGATGATGTTTAGAGTGGTTTAATATAAATTTTCAACAATTGGCAAAAAGACAACATGTGCTGATGATTCAAGTGCATATAGAAGCTCCAAACAAAGGTCAGTCCATAGCATTATACTTTGATTACTTTCCTTTTTCATTTCCTTCTTAGTCATAATGGGTTGGCTCAAGATTGTGTTCACTTCTGTTTGTTTAAAACATCTGTTTGGGCCATTCATGATTATTACCTCTGATGACAAGATCTACTGATCACTATAGTTGGCACTGCAGAATAAGGTCATTTTCATTTTTGAGGCATTGCATGTGCTCTGCTGTGAACTATTGATGCCAATTGATATTCTTTGGTATTTCTTGAGAATATGCTGCTTAATAATTGTGTCCACTGTTTTGCTAATCCTTTAATGAGTTGGTTGAATGAATTTAAATGTACCCACTATGTCTATTTGGATTCTAAAGGTGCTGCATCTCCCTCATAAGAAACCTAACCTGCTGACTTTGGCAATGGTTGGTGGAAACATTTTGTTGTTGGACAACCAAGTATCCATTTAATCATTAAGAATCCCATGTTTTTACCAAAAGAAAAAAAATTAAGAATCCCATGTTAAGGTTGAGAGCTCAACAGAAAAAGGGTACAGATTGTTAATCAGCTTAAGGGCTTGTTCTTGAAATGAAATATTCTTTTGTTTTTGGTTCCTCCTTGCCTCCCCTTGGCCAATGGCAAATAACTTAATTTATGGGTTAATACTCAATTTAATCCTCGACTATTAGGATCTCACTTTTAGTACTCGGCTTCCAAACTTGTTTAATTTCATCTCCAACTATGCAATTGTTAACCAAAATGGTCCTCAATCAGGACTATTTTGATTTGGACCAAAGACTAATTTACGTAAAAATTGCATAGTTAGGAATGAAATTGAGCAAGTTTGGAAATCAAGGATCAAAGTGGTGAAATCCTAATAGTCGTGGGACCAAATCGGGTATTAACTCAATTTATTTTCTATTATTTGTTTGTTTTGACTAGTCTTCATTCAGATTTCTGGATGTCTAACAAGTTTGACCAAGCATTTGATGAAGAGAGTTGGGTTTTGTTGGCAAATGGCAAGAGGTAGGAGACTTACACATTGTAAAACAATTTCAATTTTTTATTCATTTGGGTGCAATAGAAGATGTTTCTGTAAAGTGAAATGCCGTTTTAGCCTATAGTTGGGTGACTTGAATTGAATGAGCATTGAGTTGTTGAAATGGCATTGTCTCTGTTGTGAATGCATTGACCTTATTGGTGTGGGAATTGATGAATTATTGAGGGAGGGGTTGGTGCCGGTGATAGGTATAATAACTTATTAAACTGCGTATTTCTGATCTGATGCATTTTTATTCTTATTTTTTGTTTTATTTTATTGTATTTTAGGGTTTAAGGTCATATGTCATTAATTTTTTTTATTTATTTTTTGTGAAAAATACAATTAAGCCGTCGAATCCTTTGCATCCGGGGAAGGAAAGCTTCATCCGGTGAAGTTGGACGAAGCTTTGTTTATTGAAGCTTTTTCTGGACAAAAGCTTAGTCCAGATCTGGCCGGATGAAGATGGTGGCACCGCTCTATCCATTTTTTTAGGAAAAAAAAAACCTAATAATAATAATAATAATAATAATAATAATAATAATAATAATAATAATATATTATTATTATTATTATTATTATTATTATTATTATTATTATTTAGAATAAGGGTCAAATAGGCCATTGAACTGCATACAATAATGCAATTAGGTCATTGAACCTTAAAAAACAACAATTAAGCCACTAAACTAACAAATTTTATTCAATTAGTCTAATTTACAGGTTTTGTAGGTTAGTAATAGGTCACCCACAAAATTTAAAATATTTTTTACAAAATTATTATTTAAAAATAATAAATTAAAATCAAATTTAAAAAAAAAAAAAAAAATCTTCGCTCTGCCGGAGACGAAGAATCCATGGCCGGAGACGAAGAAACTCTTCGTCTCCATGGCCGGAGACGGAGAGTCTCTTCGTCTTCGGCCATGGAGACGAAGAAACTTTCTTCGTCTCCATGGCCGGAGATGAAGAAACTCGTCGCCGGTTAAACTTTTTTTTTTTTTTTTTATAATTTTTAATTTTAAATTATTATTTTTAAATAATAATTAAAAATATATATTTTAAAATTTGGGTGACATGTTACTAACTTGCAAAACCTGTAAATTAGCTTAATTGCATGAAAATAGTTAGTTTAGGGACCTAATTGTTGTTTTTTTAAGTTCAGTGGCCTAATTGCATTATTGTGTGCAGTTCGATGGCCTATTTGACCCTTATTAAGATTTATAAATTTCTTATTTTACCCCTACAATAATAGAAGATTTTAGGATTTTTCGTAAGGCTAGGATGAAAAATAATGTTGGGGACCGAACGCACCACTTCGTTCATAACTGAGGTATAAAAAGTAGATACAATCATAACTAAGAAACTGAATCGTCAATATAAGTATAACTGAAGGACCAACTATGTCATTTTTCCTTATTTTTATTCTTATTATTAAATAATTTAATCATTATTACCAAATTTATTTATATAAAAATAAAAGGAATAAGAGTCAAATAGGTCATCTAACTGCACACCAACATGCAATTAGGTCACCCAACTCAAAAAAACTACAATTGGGTCCCTGAATTATACAAATTCATGCAATTTCACCAAAAACGACTTGTTTACCTGTTGATACGCTGGCGTGTCAGTTACCAAATTAAAAAAAAAAAAATTTAACCTTTATTTTATTAATTTTAAGTAAAAATTTATTTTAAAATTTAAAAAAAAAAAAAAAAAAAAAAAAACGAGAGACGAAGGGGTCTCCGACCAGCCATGGAGAACCCTTCGTCTCCATGGCTGGCCAGAGACGAGGGCTCCCTTCGTCTCGTGGCTGGCCGGAGACGAAGTGGGCCCTTCGTCTCTGGCCAGCCATGGAGACAAAGGGTTCTTCATGGCTGGCCGGAGACCTTCGTCTCTGACTGTTCTTTTTTTTTTTTTTTTTTTTTTTTAAAAATTAAAATAATTTATTATTTAAAATTATTAAAATAAAAGATTAAAAATTATTTTTAATTCTATAACTGACACAACAGGTAAACAAGTCATTTTTCGTGAAATTGCATTAATTTGTGTAGTTCAAGGACCTAATTGTAGCTTTTTTGAGTTGGGTGGCCTAATTACATTTTGGTGTGTAATTGGATGGCCTATTTGACCCTTATTCCTTCTCTTTTTATATTGAAACCAATTTCCCAACATTATTTTTCATTTTCTAGCCTGATATTTCAAGGTTCTTTAACTTCAAAAGCATTTCAATAATCCTCGTATGACTTATGAAGAACCCAAGTCTCATGTACGGAACTTGAGACTCAGTACAATCAAGAGAACACTTGATCACCATTTTAGGTGTGTGAAATATATTATTCTAAAAGTTTCAAATTTCCCTTACTAAGCAACAATGGTAATCGCACCATAACTTTTGAGATACAAGAAGACAAATTTCTTAGGTTGCTTTTATGTGAAATTCACCAAGGAAGTAATTTTAGAATTTTAGTATATATAAAAATTATTTCGTAAATTTTGCTATAATTTAGTTAAGAATTGTATATCCTTGCAACATATAAAACTCTTATTATATATATAGGCTCTGGTTTATATGTTGTTGGCCTTTCCCCTGTGGTCGTACGACCTAGTGCATTTATCTGGATCAGTTAACCGAATAGTAAAAATTTTCAAAACATATAAAAGTTTATTCACTCCCCCCTCCTTCCCTCTAAACTTATAACCTTTTCTACCGGGACTAACAACTTGAATTGATTATTGAAATTATTCTTGTTAGAATTCTTCTAGTTCTTGCTTTGATCTCTAATTGTCTTCAACCTACCATCTTTGGCACTAGCTTCAACTACATTAGCTTTCACAATATCATAATAGGAACCAGATCCAAGTCTAATGAGATTAGTTTCATCAGTGTTTAGATGGTTTACATATCCTTCATGGTGTAGTTCCATGTTTGTGTTTCATCTTTGGGAAGAATGTTTGTGTTTCATCTTGTTTTGAAAATCGAACCAAACTCAATTAGGGTATATGATTGCAATAACTCACTTACCAGGATGCCTTTAGGCTTTAGCAATCATGTATTTATGCTTACATGCATCATCAACTCCGCATTTCTTTTGTAGTGTGTCCCGGCCAGTTAGACTCTGCAACTTATGCGGTAGGAATATATTGAAAAGTGAGTCACACATGTTTTGCAAGAGTGTTGCCCTTACAATCTTATTTTGGATTTCTTCACTTAGACTAGTTGTGACCTTTAGAGCAGAAGCCTTCGAGTATGGGGTAATATCCAAGATTGTCACATATGAGCTCGGTGATGATCTTTGGTGGGGTTGGTCTCGGTAGCAGCTTGGAATTGTTTTGGGGGATTTTTTAGTAGCACATAATCGATGTAGATTGTAAGTGTATAAATGATACATGTTAAATTTTATTATAAATTGGCTAATTTATTTGTAAAAGGGTTAGAATTATTTAAGCAGTCTGGCACAGTATCTGGATACGCTTGATCAGAGTCAGCGTATATACTTCAGTGGTACTCAACAAATTATGGGTGATTTGATCTATTATTCAGTACTATTTAAATATTGTGGATGTCTTTTGTTAATGGTATGTGGTCACCATTAATTTGGAAAAAGTTTGTTGAGTGAAATTGAGTATAAAAGGGTG